GTGGCAAGCACACGGCTGAAGTAACAATAAGCAACAGCTATTGCACAGCTACAAGATTATGATACAAGATCATTTGAAGAGAAAATGAGTTGCTGTTAAAAAAACTAGAGGGTGCTCTGCATTAAGTGAAGACTACGGGATCCATTATTCTAATGGGCGATTTTAATACGCATGTCGGAGTAGACGCTGAAAAGCGGAACAGCGTCATCGGAAAGAATGACCCTCGTGAACTCAACAGTGACCGCATGGAATTGTTGCGGCTTTGTGCCAACAAGGACTGTCCATTATGAACACCTTCTTCCAGCATCGAAAAGTGCATCAGTACACCTGGTACCGAGAAGCCTGCGCACAGAAGTCTATGATCGAATTGCCTTATTTATGAAGCTTTGTAACGGATGTTCATGTTAAGAGAAGTGCAAGGCTGTCAACCGATCGCCACCTTGTTGCTGACACGCTACGCTATGAGAAATGGAGTACCATGCGAAGATCTACTGCCGGAAGTAGCCAAAAAATCAGACGCAAAATATTATCTTCGGGAAAGTTGCAAACTACGTCGCATGATGCCCTGAACAGATCCCGGTAATGAACGCGAATATGGAAAATGAGTGAAAGTTCTTTAAGAGCGCCATGCTCCAGGCTACCGCTGAATGCTGAAGTTACAAATTATTGACCTGCTGCCCCGAGGTTGAAAACAAACTTGTTTGTATACATCAGAGCTGCAACAGCGAGAAGAAAGCTACATTTAAGAGGTGATTTGGAGGCAACAAACCTTCATTTCGAATGCGGTACGAAGAAGCACACAGAACGACGGAAACAGCTCTGGTCTAAAGCGGATTCCTGGAACACTTGTGGTGAGTTGATAGAGTCGAATCTCAGAGACTAACCTCCAGAACGCAAATTGGATATTCCGGAAGACCATCCGTCGCATATAAAACGAAAATAAAGTCTGTCTAAGAGTCCTGAAGGGCACGTTCGGACGTCCTCTCACAAAGGATGAGAACAAACATCCGCGACGAGACTGAGAAAAACTCCTTAACTGTGAGCCACCATGAGACGACTCGCCGTAGGTAATGCATATTAGATTTTTCGGAGATGAGATCACTGAAGCTGTTAAAAGTCTGAAATGTGAAGGTTGCTGAAATCGACGTATTCCGCCCTGAAATGCTTAAAGCATAAGATGGCTAAGAAGTGTTTGTCAAATGGCGACGGGCAAGACAAGTGCAGACTGGAGAATTAGGGTTTTAATGTCACTGTTCAAGAAGAGAGATAATAAGGAGTGTTCCAATTACCAAGTACCACATTACTGAGCCTCCTTCCTGAGGAAAAGTCTATGCAAAGTTGTCAAAAACGAGGTGCCATGGAATAATGGGCTTAAAGATAAAGGAGCGGTGCGGCTTGAGGTCAATTCGAAGCACCTTTAATTAGATCGTCGCCTTATGCCAGATAGTCGAGAAATCCAGTACAAGAAAAGCAGTGTTACTTCCGGCCAGGTCGAAGCTCCTCTGACCATATATTTGAATTGCGCCAGATTGCTGAGAAATCATGGGAGTTCGTCTATCCGGTTTACATGTGCTTTGATGGCCTAATTAAAGCCTTTGCCTAAATCCCGCGCAGGAATCTATTGGCATGCCTGTAAACAACTGTTAAGTCGCTAGGAGCCACCAAGTCACTATATACTGA